AATAAAAAAAAGCAGAATCAAACTAATTGCTATAACATTTTTTTTTCTCTATTACAGAATGAAGGTTATCATTATAACATTTTGCCTTTTCGGTGCAGCTTTCGCTAACCCAGTAAGTATGAAACTCATTAAAAAGTAAAAACTCAACATTTCTGATGTAATTCACGAACTTAATTATTTGTTTTGCTTTTTATTAAGCATCAAGAAATCTAAACAAGACTAAACACCTACTACATTTTTGTTATTCATTCACAGAGCAAAAAAGTTGTTTTTTCTAGAAAATAATAGCACTTGTTTATTGACTTATTCCTTACTTTGAAAAGGAAAAAATATTATTACCAAGGATATTTCTTCAAAGTAACTTTTTCAATTACATATTTCAGCTGATTTCATATTATGAAATAGAAAATATGAGAAATAAACATTTACTTCAACAGCTTCTCAATTAAGAAATTTGTTTTAGTAATCAGAACAAAGCAACTTTATCATATGCAGTTTATTTCCCTGAAATTTGATATTTAAAGATATCCAGCTTAAGAAGCACATTTTTTACAGTGCAGTATTGACTAAAGTAGAGAAATACTATTTTAGGTTGTCTACTTACTGAAGCAACAGTTACCTTAAGCATGCCTGGAGGTGTTCCACTTGTGCTCATGTATTTTTTTTTTTTCCTTACAGATTTTACACAACATTTTGGTATCAGCTGAGTCGGCATCAAACTCTGTAAGTATTATCAGATATATTATTTTCATCAGGCTCCACTCAACTTAATTCCATTGAGATTTTAAGCTCCCAAGATCGGTTTCACTGTTTCAATGCTCCTGGATGGGAATCTTGCTGCAGACAGGGTCATTAGGGAATATAGTTCTTGCTTCTTCTGACAAAAAAGTAATACAACTGAGGGTTGCACAGCATCTACTATTATCTATAGCTTATTAATATGTTATATTGAGATGTACTGTAAGAATACCAGCTGTTATTTGCTGAAGCAGGATTAATAAATGCTCCTATTTACACATTTTATACTACAAACTGTCTCTCACTGATATTTAATGGTGTTATGAAAGAAAGGGACCAAACAATAATGTATTTCAGTAAAAGAGAATATGAATTCCTGTGACTGAGTCAGGAGAAAGTCGAACAATGTGTGTGGTACAGACTTCAAGACAATCCTTACTGCAGACAACCTATTGTTTACAAGCATGCATATCTGTCTGCAGACATTTATGCACCAATAGCTCTGCCTGAGTCTGAGCTTGTCATGGAGGAGGCTTTTAATCACTGTTTTGCTTGTTGATATCACTGTCATGATGTATAATTAAATCTAATTAAAACTACTTGGGTGTGTGCTCATTTATTTTATTTTTTTCCTTCTTTCCAGACAGAAAGTTTGCCAGTTTTAGAATCTTCTGAAAATAATACATCAGAACTTCAGGTAAAATACACACTCTCTCCTTTTCAGACATAAATATTTCTCACATTTCTCACATTTTAGTTAAATGTTTGTGTTTGCTTTCGCTCCTTTGGATGCAGAGCTCGGAGGAAAATACCTCGAATCAGGTGAGTCTTTTTCAATCCAAGATATGTTTCATCCATGGAATAAAATTTTAAATTTTATTGTTTTTAACAATATAACTGTTTTCTGAAATTTGCAATTAATATATTTTTTTATAAAACAGAGTTCAGAGTCTGAATCAATGGAATCCACTTCAGAGGACAAGGTGTGTGATTTAATCATTCATATTTACTGTCCGCTGCTCATCATACAGTCCTCAGTTTCATGAATCACTGATGTTAGTTATTTAAAGATCGAGAATTCAAGAGCAGATTTTGAATGTTAGTAAATGACTAAATTCAACTAGAGCAAAACAAAACTAAGAGTGAAACTATTTAAAGTGCCCAGCATAAATATTCAAATCACTTGAACATTAGGCTTTGTTTTCCAGGGGTATTTGATGTGTCAATACAAATAAATACTTAATATATGTATTGCTTGTTTTAATACAAGTAGAATCTAAGTATTTTTAAAAGTTGCATTTGGCTGAGTTCATCCCCAGAAAAACATCTCCATAGCATGATGCTGCCATCATCATGTATCAGCATTAAAATGCAGGTTTAAGGGTGAACTGTAATTTTCTGCCACCCTACTTTAAACTTGTCATTAACTTTATTCTGTGCATATTTGGTGTCCATTGTGTTTCATGATGTAGTTATCTAACTTTAGAGTTTGTTATATAATAAAATAAAATTAAAATTAAAATATATTATTAGAGATCCTGTCCATAGAAAATCAGCGTTTACGTAAAATACAAATAAATCATTTGTTTTGCTGTAATACAAAACGTTTTGAAGGTCTTAAATTGTGCTTTTCTTAAAAAAAAACAGACCTCAGAGGAGAGTAACAGTCAGTCAGATGAAAATGATAAAGTAAGAGGAAACACTTTAAAAAAAACATTTTCTAAATTTTTTCCAAAGCTGTCATTTTTACTCTTGTAAAATGTATTTTCTACTCAGATGAACTCCCTGTTTGAAACCAAAGATAACAGCATGGGCAGTGAGGAGAATGTGCGAAAGGTTAGAAAAATCCTTCTTATACTTCAATTTTAAACAAAGCCATAATCCTGCTAACCATGCTCTCCTTTTACCCTGCAGCAAAATTGGGTGAGAGTCTTTGCGAGTGTCGTAAAAGGAGAGAGTGCAGAGGACAAAGGTCACCCAGAACACCAGAGCAATGAGCTGAGTGATAAACAGCAGATTCACACCAAGACAGTTCAGATCAGCACTGTCAGTGAAAAGTCTGGCGACACCACCAGCGACAGCGCGGACACCAGTGATGTTAAGGCTGCCGCAAGTGACAGCAGTGACAGCACCAGCAGTGAAAGCCAGGAGAGCCAGGAGACAAGTGACACCAAAAGCAGCAGTGCTGCCAGCGAGAGCACGGAAGATAGTGATGCCAGTGACAGCGCCGAAATGAACCAAGTCAGAGAAAAGGACTGTGTGAATAGTACACAGAGCTGTGAAAGTGAGGAGTATTTTCTGCAGAGTATAGGAGATGATGCCCATTCTACAGGGGAGCATCTGCTGGTGCCAGACGAGGAGGATAGAGAGCTGCGGCTCAGAAGGCGATGAAATGTTACTGTTATGTTGTCAATCTGAATTTGATTTAATAACAAGCTTAAAGACTAACGAATGTTCACCTTGGAACATTGATACTGCCATAATACTACATGCCGCTGATTCACTCCTATTTGTGGAATTTACTGTGACAATATAAACTACACTTGTACTTTGCTTTAATAGTATATGGAATTTAAATGAATATAACCATTGTATGTAGATACACAAAATATCAGAACACATGATCTCCTATTTATAATATTAAAAATACTCTTTGTTGTCCCATGGTGGGGAAATTATGCATCCATGTTCTTGTCTAATAAATTCTTAAGAAAATGACCTTTCTAAAATAATTTATTTGCAAAGGCAAGCTGAAGAAGTTGACCCATTACTTGCTATTGGCATTGATGATGCTTTCATATTGTATCATAATCATAGTTTCTTGCAAAAGTATTTAAACTCCTTGAAGAGGAATTCAGTATGTGACAGATGCACATAGCAGCTTTCAATTAAGATTTGGTAAAAGCATGACAGCAAAAGCATGACAGAGCTCATTTAACATTTCCTTCACCTGGGCTGTGGATTTGCAGATACCATGCTTGTTTTACCTCAGTTTAGGAAGCCATCTGTAATAGTAGGTGTACAGTAGTATTTTCCATTAATATAGACGAATTAACATAATGCCTGTGATGTCTGTGATCCTACGGTCAAGTTGTGTCCCGGCTTCACCGGGCGTCATGGCCGGTTAGCTCAGTTGGTTAGAGCGTGGTGCTAATAACGCCAAGGTCGCGGGTTCGATCCCCGTACGGGCCAATACTTTTCGTTTCTTGTTAATTTTGAAAACTTTTTTTTTGCCATCTTGATATTATTTATGTCATGAACATACTTCCAAAATTTACTTAACAATTTAATGTCATGAAGTGTACGACTTTTTACTTGAACATTGCGTTTTAAACATGTTACCACCAGATGGCGACAAAGCTAATGTCAGAACTGCTTCTCTTTCTTCCAAATAACAGCTAGGTACTATTAGAATAAAATATTTCATGAACTATTTATGTACAGAAAAGATTGCATTGTTATGACTTCTTGTAATAATAATTCAAACTGATCAGTAGATCATCCCCTTTACCAAGGTTTTGTTTACTCTCCCTTAAACAGAAATGAATCCCTTAACCATTCCAAACACAATGAAGTTCACACAGTATTTATGGTTCAAACAAGAAGAGCAGAAGTGTGTGATAATTGCTTTTTAAAGAACTATCAAAAATATTCTCTAAAAAATGAAAAAGACTACATATTTTTATTGTTATAAATTTTTTCAACAAATGAAGCAAAATTACACTGAATTTGAAAATACTTACTTTGTGAATTCTGGATCCCATTCAGCATTTTTTAATAGTTTTAGCAACGTTTGTCTGCTAAATTTATAATCAGGTTTTTAAATGGAAGCATAATTTCATTTATTTTTTCACTGTAAAAAAAAACAAACGGGAGGTTTATATTTCTACAGCATTCAAAATTATAATGACATCTTCAGGGTGACAGAATTTACAGTTTGCATCAGCATAAAGCAGTCTTAATTTCCCATAAGTATTGATTAAAAAAAATATTCCGGGAGAAGGAGTAAAAAGAGGTTTAATTTCCAGAAAACCTTTATTGCATCTGAGAACTAAACTTGCTGAAAATGTACAAACAAACAAAAAATATTTAGCATTTCAACATTTATCTGACAAAAAGAGTGAACGAAAATAGTGAGATTGCCCTTTTTTTTAAACAAACAACTGACAACTCTGCAACTTGTATTGCAATACAATAATTGAAAAAACGCAACAGTTTTGTTTTTTTATATATATATATATATATATATATATATATATATATATATATATAACAGGCAACAAACCCTGTAAACATGTTTTACTTTTATGTTTGAGGTCACATTACTGTCTGGGAAAGTGGGATTTTAAGTGTTCCTTCAGGGAAGGTATTGTGGGCAACTCCTTGCGACACACATGGCAGCATAGAGGTAGTTTCAGCAACTCACTGGTGCCATCTTTAACCAACACTTTTCCACTTGTTTCAAGCATCTGAATCACATCTGTGGGAAAAAAAAAAAAAGATTTATGCATTCTTCCTAATACCATAAGCTGGGCTATTATATACAGTAAAATACGTTAAAAATATGAACAGAAACGAATGCGTCCCCACCATGGGAATCAATAAAGTACTCTGTTGTAAAGGAGTTCCAGTGCTTCTTGTTCTTTAAACAAGGAGAGTCAAAGTCCTGGCTGATCACATGGAGGTGAACTTGACTGAAAGAGAGGATAAACAAGTATTTATTTTAGGGATGTGCTGATACAACCTTCTTGTTTCAGACATGTAACCATAATGCACCTTTGATTATTGACAGATATTAATATTGAACCGATACAATAGCAGCTTGAACGCTAGAAACTTTCATTACTTATTTTGTAAATGGGGAGGTTAAAAAAGGGTTGAACAATGACATAGATCAAAGAACAATAGTCAGCAACAAAAGGCATGAGAATAACTGACCCATTTGCTAATAACCAGTGATTTGTATTATATCTAAATAGAATCAAAAATGCAGGCCGATACAACTTTAGTCATTTGTCGATGTTATAATAAGATCAGGGCCTCCCTAATGTCTTTATCTTATCTGCACAACCATTACAAAGTAACATGTCTGATGTTTTAAACAGTATTTAAAAATGTAAAGGTTCAGCCTAGAACACCAAATGTTTCTATAGGAGACTAATGACATAGGACAGTGGGCTTGTTATACATCTTTAAATTGACAAAATAAAGCTAGTTAACTGGTTCTAAGGTTACACAAATATTTCTCTTATTGTAAACAGAGATGACCGATACATCAGCCTACTGACATCTTATTTTCTTGTCTCTGCATCAGCCAATACATATATGTTTTTGCAGATCTATTAGTGCATTTAGCAGCTTGATGGGAGTGCTGGCCTTGTGGTTAGAGCAGTGCGCTTGTGCTCTGAGCAGGTTTCAAGTACCTGGTTCGATCCCCACAGCTGCACTCTGGGTTCCTGAGCAAGCACTGCTCCCCGGGTGCTGCACAGTGGCAGCACACTGCTCCCCAAGGGGATGGGTTATACGCAGAGAGTTAATGTCTCCATTGTGAGATCAATAAAGTTCAATTTTTCTGTTTTCTTTTTTTATTTGACACCACATAAAACTCATGCAATCCTGGTTCATCCATTTACTATTAATTGTTAATGTTTGTTTTGATTTGTCTTTTTTTTTTGTTTAAATTGACATTTGTGTACCATTTTTTACCACTGTGATATTCTTACCATGTAAATGGAGGAAGAAAATGACAATGTCAGTTTCTTGATTGGAGGTGGTTTACGCACAAGCTGCAAGGTAACGACACTACACGAGGAAGGACCTCGCGGATGTGTCACTCATAAACCAAGCCTTAGGCTCATGTCAAAATAATTGGTATCAGAGCCACAGAGATTCATCTGATGCCTGAATTTCATTGGTAGACGTCTAACAGAATTTGAACAGAGGATCAGTGGAAAGCAGCTAAAATCACCCAAACCCCTCAACTTAACTAAAATCTATTAAATCTAACCCAGATCTGCTGCAGGGACTTGATACACCTACTTAATTGGTGGCGTCCCGATCCAACCTTAATATTTATCAGTCTGATTTCAGACGAAAAACTAATATCAGAATATATCAACCTGCATCTAGTCTCTGATATTACCATGCCGATATAAAAACTCTGCATCCACTTATAGTTTCTGTAACCTATTGGTTAATATTGCATGGCTCAGTTTTTTCCAAATTTTTTTGTTGACTACTGTTCTGTTTTCTTCCATTCTATGGGGAAGCAGACCCATTTTAAATGCATTAAAAAGAGAGGGAGAAACTTAGTGTCTTACTCGCGTTTTTTGTAATGTGACTAAAATCAATTTCCTCTGCAAATCATGTTTTGATATTATGCGATTATATTGCAAATGCAATCAATTGTCCAGCCCACGTACAATTGGTGCTGATATCTTATCAGGCCAATATCAGTATAGGCCAGTTCTCAAAGCTGCAAAATCTGTATCATATTGGAAAATAAAAAGTTGTATCATGACACCCCTACTACTTAACCATTGTTAGTATAACTATCAAAACCAACCGAAGGCAAATCTCCTTCCAGTGGTAACATTAAAACAGCCTTACCTCATACTTGGGATAGCGTGATAACCTGTGCGGAACCGCAACGAGCTGGAATCCGGACATTGCTGGATCATGCTGTCAGCCACCTGCTGCATGTGCTTGAGAAGAACACAGTGCTCTCCACTTAAAGCCTTTAGGCTGGGAATCGACTGCCATGGAAGGACTAACCAATGGTAGCGAGCTTTGGGATATTTGTCTTTAATTACCACAACTTTATCATCCTTGTAAACCTGCAAAACGGAAATCAGGATAGGGTTACAAATAAGGCTATAAAGGAATCATGAAAGCAGTTATAGATCATTTTCGTAAGGAAGTGACCTGCATCTGAGGATCTTGCATTGAAGTCTTTAGACCTTGGCTCCAATGTCCCACACTCTCCTAAAACAGATGAGGAATCACAACTTTAAACCAAAGGAATTCAAAATATTAAAGCAACATTTTACAAGGTTATTTTTCTCCCCTTACATTTCTAGTGTTGTGTTCTCCATGACTGGCTGATGGTGAGTCATTTCTGTTCTGTTTTGCAGCTTTCGGAGTCTGAGCACTTCCCTGGCTCTCGCCGTCTTCCGATGTTTGCACTATTGGTCTTTTGGTGCTGCTCTGGTGGCCAGTGAGATCCTCTTTGAACTGGATGGTGTATGGATAAAGCTGATTGACAATATGAAGCGTCTCTCCAGGCTTTATTCTGACCTCATTGCCTTTTCCTACCACCACAGAGTTTACAGAGGTGGGGTTTAAGCCCAGCTTTATTAATTGAGAAAAAAAGGTTAAGGTTAGAGGGTGTTTTGAGTCTGGTTGAACAACACTAATAATTTAAATAAAAAGTAAATATTCAATTTTTCAGACCAAAAAATACTGATTGAAATTCACAAAGACAGTTTTCACTTAGAGTGTGTTATTTGAACATTAAATACGCTTTTATATCATTAGTGTGTTTTAAAGGATGATTCAAAGCTTTACAGTCTTACCTGTTTAACTTTGACATAACCTTTGTTGCATTCAGCTTTCAGTTCAACTGGGTAGGAAAAGGATAGCATTAAGGTAAGATAAAATCTATAACATTATAGACCACTTTGCCCTTTAAAGGTATAGTAGAGGATATTCGCAAATTTTTGAAAAAACCCGCCCTCTCCAATTAAAACAAAAACACACATGCACAACCCTGTCCCCGCTCCCGAGAGGGGACAACTATTAACACGTGCAAGAGTGTGCACAAGCCCATTTCCCCTTGTGCATGCTATGTTTAAAAGTTTCTATTAGCATACAAGCTTACTTTCCAAAACATTTTCAATTTTACCAGTATGTCAGCCTCCCCACTTGTAAGTGAAAATGGGGAGGAGCATGTAGGATGATCTTACATAAACATATCACCAGGTTGATTGACAATTAGGAGGACCTCTTAGATCCATCTTGAAAAAGATCATCCTCCACTTTACCTTAAAAGTTGGCACTTGACTTCAGGAGAAACTTTGACATCTTCCAATGGACATTTTAAACCTGCTCTATTAATGTATAAGTTCACGTAATTGTCTCAAATATAATTACAGTCCACTTAAAGGAAATGTGGCTTTGTAACTCAAAAAAATTTATCTCACAGTAAGAGATTGAGGTTGCAATACAGTGCCCAGAGATATAGAACATAACTATAATGATTAGGGTCCTACTGGTTTACTTAGCTGTCTTTTACTAAGCTGTCAAAACAAGTAATTCTATGAAAGTGTTTTGGTTGGAACAGGTTTAAAATGTTGTTAAATTTGATAGGAGAGGTTCCAGTCTTTCAATTCAGTCAAACAATGTTTTCTTTGTTTGCTTTTAACCCCTAAAAAATGTCTGTGTTTTAAAGTTCATTAAAAAAGTAAAAAGTAAAACATACAGGAGATGACATTCACAGACACAAAAAGTTAACTGGCACTGCTCCATCTGGGCTTCTTTGGCATAAGTCTTAATGCATCATTATATTCAACCTTCAATTTTGAAGGTTTTTTAACAATTGCACTGTAAGTGTGCCATATAAAGTAAAGAACAATGTCAGCGAAACAAGTTCAGTTTCACTTCATAAGAGCAATATACAATTTCCGAACTAGAACAATGTGCAGCATAGAATTGCAGAAATATTGTTTTAAGAATATGTTTCCAAACATTTTCATGCCGAGTATACCAAATGCACCGCAATGAAGCGACTTCTTTTACTAATGGTTGGGTAGAACCAAATAGTACGACTTTTGGTAAGTTGTTGTTTGGTTTTTTTTCTTCTTCTTGTGTGGTTTTAACAACATTTTATGTATCGGTCTCCGCCAGGTGACATCAATTGTTTACCTCGGGCGTGGTGCATCGTGGGAAAACCACCATATTAGGTGGAAAGTCAAGATAAGCCACACGCGGCTGTTCTTTCGGCACAATTATTTACCAGAAATGACACGATCGTGTTGTGTGAGAGGCTGCCAGTCCCGGTGTCGTGCCAAGGTAGTTATCCCTGCGAAAATTATTTGTATCCCCTCGTCGGGAGCGCGCACGGAGTAGGAAGAACAACCCGAGTTAACTCCGCTTCAATTCCAACGTGCAGAACTTGAAATTTGAAAGGTTTTACGTGTATGAAAGTTGAGCTTTACTGTTTTATTCTTTACTTCACATGTTATAGCAGAATATCGCCGGTGATATTGATCTACAACTAAAAATAAAACACAAACGTTTGCTTGAAAGCTGGTCGCTGACAGCAGTGTCTACTCCTTCCTCTGAAAGCAAACTGATCCGTGTTCTTTTCCATACGTTCCTTAAAAAAATCTCTCATTGTTTTACAGTGTCCAAATGTTCTCATCCCATTGAAAACTGTTGTAAACCATATACTTGTAATAAAAATGAAATAGAAAATGGACTGCACGTGTAATCATTAAAGACTATATGCAGAAGGAAAATAATTTTTTCCTGGTTGAAATTTAGTACTTAAATCTATATTTGTGTTTATAGTAACGTACAATTTATTGTACTTTACTTAATAAACAGTTTGTCTTCTAACATCAGCCATTTTATTTCATCCCATATTGTCAGAACTGGCAATATGGGATGAAATAAAACCTGCTGTAATCTGTTCCCCCTGTCTAAATCAGGCAAAAAAGGCCCCAGCTTTTCCATTTTTGGCTTATAACTTATAAGCCAAAAATGGAAAAGCTGGGGCCTTTTTTGCCTGATTTAGACAGGGGGAACCGATTATAGCAGGCGGCCTGCTATTATTTGTTTCCCCCCTTATAACTTTAAGAAATAAAGGTCAATCAACTCCAAAGTTTCAGGGGTTAGTTGTCATCATAAATATGCTTATAACTATAAGCATCTTTTATGATGACAACTAACCCCAGAAACTTTGGAGTTGATTGACCTTTATTTCTTAAAGTTACAAGGGGGAAACAAATTATAGCAGGCCACCTGCTATAATCTGTTCCCCCTGTCTAAATCAGGCAAAAAAGGAGCCATTTGTGAACTGTCCGTGTGCTTCCAGTGACCTATATGCTTTGAATTCCTCGCAAGTGTAGGCACTGACGCCAAACACTAGGTAGTTTGTTATGTCCACTGATGAGGTCGGAGGCAGTGAAGTGACGTCGGAACTCCAGTCTTTGCTGCGGAGATCATAAGGATCTATGCCGTTAATATCCGACAGTTTCGTCAAGTAACGGTCCCTGGCCTCGTTATTAAGTTTTTGCCGGTACGGTAATTACGCATTCTGCTTACTTTTTTCCATATAGTCAGAGAAACAAACTCAATCCTTTAGTCCTTCGTTTAGCTATGCTGCGGTTGTTTACACTACGCCTTCTCCACCTAAAATGGCGTCTTAGCAACAAATGTCACGTGACTGGCGGAGCCCGATTGGGTCATATGATGGAGAACTACATTTTAATAAGCTTCTAATTTAATGATTTTTAGCTGACACTTGTTTTTATCTTAAAAGTGATTTTTATCTGACACTTGTTTTACGTCAATTGTTTATATGTTTCAAATTGTTTAAATAAAGTGTTAAAAGTAAAAAAAAACATCCTTTCCTCCTTCTTCTTTTCTATTATGGCGGATCGCAAGCCACTTTAAGGTGCATACTGCCACCTACTGTACATGAATGTGTAGCAACATTACTTTACATCAAATTCTATCTTTTAATCTTGAATTCTGTAAATAAATAAATAATGCTTTCCTTAATCTGTGAATATCCTTCATATTTCCTTCATTTCCCAATATTCATTTAAGGCTCCATTCTTTGCCTGCCCTTCCAACCATCCTTCTTCCTTTCATGTTCCTAAGTTTTACAGTTCATCAGTACGTGTTCTACATTTTCCTTATCATTATTTCCCCCCCCTAATAAAATATAAATTGTCATTTAAATAGGTATGACCCACTCTTAATCTGATCATTATTACTTCTTCCCTTCTGTTTCTGGTAAGTTACTTCGTGTTAGCATACTGATGTTGAATTAGTTACCTTGCTGCCGAGAGCATTTCTTGTCTTTAATGGTCGTTTCGGGGCCTCGCCCAACGACAACCGCCTGTAAATGATGGAGCTGAATTGGTTTATGTGAACTCTCTTCGCTAATAAGCCAGCAAGTTGGCATTTTATCATGTTCCTTTATCTGTTTTAATGCTAGCTGTGTTTACATGTGTATTAGCAATCCCCAGTTTGCGCGTGGTTTCCAAGGCTAACTTCTCGCGAGATTACAACGTGAACGGGGCTGGAGTGTTTTCGCTTGGCACGCGGGCCAGGAAGGTTCTCGAAGAAAGGCTTTGATGTGAGTCTGCTGCTTGTTGTCTTCATACAAAGGTTGGAAAATAGTTAATATCAGACATGTTTTACTTTTGTCATTCACAGCTCTGCTTAATTTGGCCCAATGCTGGGAGGACAGCCTAGCTGGCGTTTTAGCTGTGGCCTGACCAAGTAGCTAAATTAGCTAAGAAAGGCCCTATCCGTTTCACTTTATGTGGCTTATGCTGCGATTATGTGGGGGTTTACCACCCGGACTCACTGAAGCCTTTACAATCGTTGAAAATGTCTTATAACGACCCCAGACTTTTTTTTTCTTCTAAAAAGATCCCCATAGATAATATATTCAACGGACATTTAATTTTTTTTTTCACCTGTGTTGTCACTATGAAACGAAACAAGATTTTCTTGGCATCCAGATGCGAGCTAACGAGCACCAGTCTGTTATAAACCTTTTATAAACTGCTTAACGGGGAAAGCCAAATTCTAAAATTGAATTCCAATCATGAAGGGTTCATTTGATAAAGGGAAAAAAATTTAAGAGAAACGCTTTCACCTGTTGGAGAATCATTCCCAAGTCCAATAATGTTAAATATATTGGAGCATAAATCTGTCATTCATCTGGTCAGATTATAGATTTTATTCCGTGACTGTTGGAGACATGCTGACCTGCTATATAGTTAAGGCTATATAGTTAATGCCAGAATAGTTTTTCCCCTCCTTTGCCTGTCTTTGTTTTTTTTACCGTTGGAAGGCTTAGTGAGCTAAAATTTAGATGTAATTACCATTATCCCATAAAAACAGGAAATAATGGATAATTTGAACTTGATAAATACTCTGATCAATTAATAAAGGTTAAGTTTAAAGAAAAAAATTATTGGTGTAACTAGCTATTAAACAACATTTCCTTTATTTTTAGACTTAGACAGATTTATTTTATCATTTTGTATACACAAGTGTAAACAAAAAGAAATTTCGTTCAGAAAAACTAGACAATTTCATTGTTTTTTTGTGCAGCCTTGAAAAAAGTAAAAAAAATACATAAAAACCGTAATATAAATATATGATTGTATATTTACAATTCTAACATTTCAGCGTTTTTTTTTTATGTTTTTCTTTTAAATAAAATACTGTAAAATAATCAATTTTACATAACATTCAGCAGTACAGCTATTGCCATGGTGTTCCGCTTGATTTCTGCACATAAACAGCTTTATTATAATTCATGCAGGGAGTATTATAGATTACAGAGGGGAGTGGCATAGGGCTTTGAATCCTGAGGTTGTGAGTTCGATCCCCCACTCCCACAGACTGCCACTCTGGCTCCCAAGACCAAGCAAGACCCTTAACCCCACACTGCTCCCCAAAGGGATGGGATAAATGTAGAGAAGTAATTTCCCTCTCGGATTATTAAAGTATAAAAAAAGAAAAAAAAGATTATGGACACTGCTTTGTTAGTAGAACAGGAAAGGAAAATCAGAGAAAAAAAAAAAGGAAAGAAAGAGGAGATAAAAGGGGAAATGAAAGGGAGATAACGATAAAACATCTTCAGTCTGCTTCATCACCTGCAAAGAGATGTAAAAAGAACATCACAACCAACGAATATAGTATAAGACATACAATAAATTAACACCTTGATACTATCGCTGAAGTATTAGTCTGAAATGTTCTCCGCATCCTAGTGGTTAAATTTTAGCATTAGTGGAGCTGAATTACTCTGGTTCTAAAGGAAAACATTTTATTCGGTCTAAGATAACTTCTTAATTAATTAATCTTTTTTTTTAAATGTGTTTGAACCTCATTGTAACCCTTCCCTTTATGTAGGTTTTCGCTGACAGAAAAAAATGGTTGCTGGCATTTAGTCTCATTTAAACATTTAAATAATGTTTTTTTTCTCTTTCATTTTCTAGGATTATCTGATAGGGGGAAGATGGTGAAGGAAACAGGTTTTTATGACACACTCGGTGTTAAACCGAACGCAACTCACGATGAACTTAAAAAAGCCTACCGTAAATTAGCCTTAAAGTATCACCCTGACAAAAACCCTACTGAAGGAGAAAAGGTATGTTCCCCTTCATTATGACCAATGACCACAGCAGCTCTGACAGGTAGATTTTAACCCGTTTTTTTTCTCTCCTGAAGTTCAAACAGATCTCACAAGCATACGAGGTGCTATCAGATGCCAAGAAGAGAGAGGTGTATGACCGTGGAGGTGAAAAGGCTATAAAAGAAGGTGGAACAAGCGGCAGCAGCGGAGGGGGTGGTTTCACATCCCCCATGGATATCTTCGACCTGTTTTTTGGTGGAGGCAGTCGGATGCACAGAGAACGAAAAGGTGAGCGCAGGTGTTTGGAAAAGCTTAGAATAGCTGTTGATCTTCTGAATAAGTAACTTAAAGGCTCCTTAGTTGGACTAATAACTGATCCTCTGTTTTAAAAAAGAATACAATATCTATAAAAACATATTAACAGGAAATAATCAGTCCAAACAGTACCCATTCAGTTTCATCTACCAGTTAAACAGTTGATGCCTTTAACCGGAGAAGCAAAAGCAGCTGTCTGTAAATGTAATGCATAACATTTACCACTAGAGGGCAGAATAGACATGCTGATATTAGTGAGGTCTTAGAAAAGTTAACTCATAGATAATTTGTGCTCCAACATTATTCATGATAGGTGACTCTTGGGGCACAGAGTGAAGCTGTTCCTCTCTTACCATCTATTTTTTTTGTATTTTAAAACCTCAATACGGTAAAAATGTCACCTTTATATTAAATGTTAATATTTATACATAAATGAGCTGAAAACTGAGCAAGACCTCTGCAGTGTATATGGAGAAAAAAATTCTAAAGATGCATCAGAACCCTGACCATGTTGTTTAGTCAAATAAGGGAAGTCCTGCCTCCACATATTAAGCTTTCTGATGTACCCCCTGAAAATCTGCTCATCTTCACAGTTAAAGCTTCTGTATAGACAGAATTCAAGGATTAGACTTAAATAACAGCAGAACCCCTACGTTGTTTTTGTGCAATATCTTTAAATTTCCAATCTTTTTTTTTTTCTATTAAAGCCATACCCTCTATTGGGGTTAGCAAGTGATTTTCACTCTGCATTTTCTTCACTTTGCAGCTGTGACAGGCATTATTCCAAAAGGTTTGAATGTAATATTGAATCCTAGTTATCTACTTTTCTGTCGGTTACATACAGATAAATATACAAGACTTTGATGATATTGTAATCTGAGAGTTATAAAAAAAAACATTATTATAAAAGTGTATTTATTCAACGTAACAATTAGACCATAAATTCAAACTATAGTAAGTGTTTTAGTGCTCCATTGTCTCTGAATAAGTTTGAATTACTTGTTGCCTGGTAGGGATATCGGATAGTGTCAGAAATGAGTCTGATATCAGCCAAAAAATGTATATTAGAGTGCATCTAAAATCTCCAATATAAGCAGTACTTTTGCTTATATTGGAGATACTTTTTTTTTGTTTATGTTTTGTTAATGATTAAGGGGTCAGCTGTTCTCATAGCTATCGTTACCATTTTTCTCTTTTGATTGAATCACAATCGACAGCACAAAATTAACAATAAACTATTTATTATTCATTGGGTGTTCATTGGTACCAATATATACTCAAAAATGTAATATTAGTATGGCCTACAACAGTTTTGTTATTTAGCTGTTTATTTATGATAAATAATTTAGTTTGATAATGTGGTGCAGGAAGGACACCACACAGCTGTCCTGGGATCTATTGCCCAACCATGCCACCTTCGCTGCATGTCCTCTTTCTCTGACTGCCTGTTTAGTGTCTGAAAACTGTCAGTGAGGACAACTAGTGCCAAAATAATAATATAATCTTTATAAAGGAGGTCTTCAATAGGGGGTCTGTGACCCCTAGGGGGTCCACAGAGGTACTGCATGGGGGTCGTGAAAGTTTTGGTTGACTAGACTTTTTTTGTTTTTTAATCCCCCCTGCAATTTTCTGTACTAATTGAAATGTCTTTAAATACACATTGACATGAATTCAACACACTGTAGTAAACAAATAAATGGAGACAGAAGATGTTTTTCAGTCATCGGTGCACACATTCAGCGACACACAGGAGCTCTTTCAATAGAGTGTACTATAGGACCAGTTGGATATAACAGAAATTCATACAATATATATAATTAGGGGGTCAGCGCTCCATCTCGCCATCAGTTTGGGCGTCCTTGGCCTGGAAAAGTTTAAGAACCCTGTTTCATAACATTAGATATCAGCCTATGAGCAAAAAAATAAAAAGTTTTAAAAAGTATTTTGATTGAGATTGAGGTATTTTAGTTTTTTGTATTTTTCTTAAGTCTATGAAATGTTATATGATTTTATTCCACCATAGGAAAGAATATTGTCCATCAGATCACTGTGACCCTGGAGGATCTTTACAACGGAGCAACCAGAAAACTCTCCGTACAGAAGAACTGCATTTGTGAGAGATGTGAAGGTAAGAGCCTCTGCAGTCTGAGCACACAGCCTACCAAGGTTGGTTAAAATTTGAAGTGTTTCTTTACACATTGGTTTAATTTACTGAATTATGATGTTTAAAGGATTGATGAGACGTTATTTATTTAATCTAATTTCACATTAAAATGTTGCAGCAGGACTTAGTAAATGGTTATTATGAATCACATAATATCAAATTATTTTTAACACAAATACCCTACATGTAGTAGCTCCATGGAAGCACTCCGATGATTAAAAACTAGTAGAAAACCATCTCCATGTGATCACGTGAGAGGGAGAATAATTTTGTAGCTAGATAAATATTCTAGCCGTAGGTTTGGTTTCTGGCAGCTGCTCACGGTAGACGCTCACCAAATAACCAAAAAACACATCCTTCTTAAAATGTCCAAGCACAGAAATGAAGCCTGGGGTGCTTTTTGATATAATTGGTGCTCTGAGTGGGTTGCTCTGACAGCTAAAAGCATATTTTACTGTCTCTATATTCCAGTTAACGATTAATCAATAACTAAATTAGTTGACGATTATTTTAACAATCAATTAATCCGTTTAATTGTTTCATCCCATTCAGTTTTTTCAGGTTACCTTTGTTTAAAGGGGTCATAGAATGCTTATATAGGGTATTTGCTGCTGGTTCTTAAGGTTTCTGAATAGGGTGTGTAACATTGGTTGGGCTGAAAATGGCATATTTGCTGTTCTATGAGCACTAATGCAAGCCTGGTTAAAAGCTCTAGAATGAAACAACAGCTTTTCTTCCTTTTATGGTATGCTCATGAATATTTAGATGAGCTGTGCGCTGATTGGTTGGTTTACAACGAGCAAAGCTGCCGAGCAAATACTCATCATAGCAACAAGAACTCTCTCAGTAGCTACGTTTACATGGACACAACTAATCGGATTGAAGGCCTGATCAGATCAAAAATGTTTCATGTAAACATGTCAGACTGAAGATTCTAATCCGATTCGGTCCGATCGGATCTAAATTTAATTCCGAAAGAGAGAGGTGGTTTTTGCCGATCGCCATTCCGATTGGCGTCCATGTAAACACCCATTCGGATCTTAAGAGTAAAATAATCTTCACTGCGCATGTGTGCGACGTCAGCGTGACGTTTTTCCGCCTTGTCAACAACAGGAAACCACCGGTCGCTCTCGCTCTCGCTGTGAACAACATGGCGGGGGGAGTCTAGGAACGCCGACTTATACACTCAAGTTCATTTAAAGCTGCAGGAAGCAGGAATTTATCCTCTTCCTCTTTTCTCTCTCCACAGCCCACTCGCTCTCCCACGCCGGTTCAATCGCTCATTCTCTACATTTTCTCTCGTACATTTCGCTGCCAAGCGCATTTTTCCTCCTCTCTCCTTTTTTCTTTCCGCTCGCTCCGAGCGCATCGTTTGTCAGGCCTCCCAAAAACCAGACGCAGACAGAACTGTCAAGTTTGGCAGGAAGTTCTGCGCATGCTTAAAAGATTTAATCTGATCCAACGCTTGGTACATGTATACACACGTCATGATCGGATCATTTCATTTAGTGTCCATGTAAACGAAGATTTTGAATTTCCGATCAACCAAGGTTTGGATCGGATCGGGGAAATTTTGCGCATGTAAACGTAGCTACTAAACATCAAAGTGTTGATACAGTAGGGTGACAAGACACCCTCTTTTTTCCCGGGCATGTCCTACTTTTCATACCTAAAAAAATGTCCAGGGGGAATTTCAAAATTATCCAGGATTTTGGTCGACTACAGTGCAGCAGAACCGAGCCATGAGCCGGGGCTCCTGCCTATTTTATTTATTTATTTTTTTTTCCTACTTGCTTTGATTCTGTTTTATTTCCTATATTTTAATCATGTAAAGCACTTTGCATTGTCTTTGTACTGAAATGTCCTATACAAATAAATTTTTCTTGCCTTGCCTTGACTTGCCATGCCTTGCCATGCCTTGCCTTGCCTTGCCTTGCCTTACTGGGCAGGCGGGGGGAAGCATACTAATATATATATATATATATATATATATATATATATATATATATATATATATATATATATATATATATATATATATATTAGGGTCATAGGTACTTGTTGATGGCATTAAAATTATTTCTAAGTACATTAAAAAGCATTAGATTAGAGTTCCTCGTTCCTGTATGAACCCTGATACTGCTGTGATGATATGACTTTTAGGCTAATGACACAATTTTATCTGTAGTTGGATCCATGTGTCCTCAGATTAAGAAATGTAACAGCAGGCATATTTTCAGAAAGCCAATCTTCAGCAGACATATCAAAACACACAGACAGGACTTGTTGAGACAACAGTTGAGACTCCCTTCAGCTCCTGTGTGGACTGGATGCATGTGGAACGCTGGAGCTTAATTAGCTTTGACAGGTGGATTAGATCAGAGTCTGACTGGTTTACTTAGCTGTCAAAACAAGTAATTCTATGAAAGTGTTTTGGTTGGAACAGGTTTAAAATGTTGTTGAATTTGATCAGAGAGGCTCCAGTCTTTCAATTCAGTCAAACAATGTTTTCTTTGTTTGCTTTTAACCCCTAAAAAATATTTTCTTCACACTCATGTACTTCTTTATGCATGTCTTAAAATCCCATTAGGAGAAAGGAGGAAATAATGGTGGTTTAATTTCCCTTGTGGTTTTCATCTGCACTGAAGGCTCTGTTTTTCTCCATGGCAGGTCGTGGAAGTCGTAAAGGAGCTGCACAGATGTGCATGTCCTGCCATGGTACTGGAGTGCAGGTCCGCATGCATCAGTTACTTCCCGGTATGGTTCAGCAAGTGTCCACGGTGTGCCACAGCTGTCAGGGAGAAGGACAGAGAATCAGCCAGAAGGACCGCTGCAAAACATGCGGAGGACGCAAGATCATGCGGCAGAAGAAGATCCTGGAGGTTCACATCGACAAAGGTTTGGATTAGACTTGTCTTTTTTGGTTGGACAGTGTTCATTAATACTTGAAAGAGAAAGTTGAAATTTTATCTGTTTTTTTTTTTTAGTTGTTTTTGTTTTTGTATTGTTCTACAGGAATGAAAGATGGGCAGAAGATCATTTTTCATGGTGAGGGGGACCAGGAGCCAGGGCTGGAACCAGGTGATATCATCATCGTCCTCGACCAGCAGGAGCATGCAGTTTTTACACGGTAAAAAAACAAAAGGGGAATAAAATATGCAGGGTTTAATTCCACTGTAGATAGACTATAGAATAGTCAGATTTACAATCAATGTTAATATAGTTCTATCTCAATGGGTTTTAGCAACGATATGTGTAAAAAATGCAAATGAGGTAAAGAATATATTCCAGAACACATCTAGTAGAAAGAAAACGTCTGCAACTTGAATTATATTTATAGATTTGATGTAGTGTAGGGAAGTCAGCTCTGTTGTTGAAGTGTTTTTGGTCTTCAGGAGAGAAGAAGACCTGCTGATGTCGATGGAACTGCAGCTGGTCGAGGCTTTGTGTGGTTTTAAGAAACCGGTTCAGACGCTGGATGGCAGAACTCTCCTGGTCACATCCCATCCAGGTAAAGCTGAACTTTCAAAACAAAGCTGAATGTTTATTGTTTGAATTCTTTCTGGTTTAATCATTGAAGATGCTTTTTATTTCTCTGTTCATCAAGGTTTAAGTTTATAATGATGCTGCTTGCCTATTTGACAGTCAAAAAATTGAGTTATTTTATATCCTTTTTTTTATTATTGCATTAAAGATGAGAAGTTGTTTCCCAGCTAGTTTGCTTGTACTAATCTCTCTGCTACCCCTATTTGTCTTTTAGGAGAGCTAATTAAACCTGCAGACACAAAGTGTGTCCTGAATGAGGGGATGCCCATGTATCGCAGACCTTTCGAGAAAGGACGTCTTATTATTCATTTCTCGGTAAGAACTGGAGGTTATTGATTTTTAGGTAAATATAAGCCTGAAAGAAAGCTGTTCCAGAACCCTTTGCTACTCTGATATTTAAAAAAAAGGGCTTAGATCCTCAGGCGAGATAAAGAATTAATAATAAGTTCTCTTTTCATAAATGTTTCACTTTGCTATATATGGACATTTTAGTTGCTTATCGTCTTGCTCTGAGTCTTTGTACAAAGTTTCAAATGTTCATCCTTCTAGAAACATAAATGTTTGTTGGCTCTGCAGAACTGGGTCACAATTTCTGAATCTCTCCAAGAATTGCCACCTGCTCTTATTCTATAGTTGTTGCTTTTAAAGATTCGGTCATTCTAGCCTTACTTAACTTTAGCATCACTTGTAAACTATGAGCGGCAAAACTTGTGAAGAAATATAATACTAAGACGTTGAACACTAAAGTACATTTACAGTAGTTAAAAGTATCTCCATTTCACCTTTTATATTATAGATAAAAATAGCATTGAAGTAAATGAAAAGGATTCATCTGGGGAAATATCTACAAGCATTAGTGTATTTATCTGAATTTAATCTGACAGAAGAAGAGAGTATATTTGATGCAGAAGAAAACAAGATGCACCCTTTCCCCAATATTTTAAAGATTCAAATATGGAAAGTGTTAAGAGGATTAGGGCCACTGAAAAAAAAAAAAAACTGTTAACTGATTATTAAATTTTTTTTCAGTTTAACATAGGAAAAAGTCAGAATTCTGACTTTTTTTCTCACAATTCTGACTTTAATCTCACAATTCGGACTTTTTTCTCAGAATTCTGACTTTAATCTCATAATTTTGGATCTTAATGTAGATGGGCATCATGGAGGAAGAGATGTGTTTCTATACATCCTTCCTGTTTCAATGCTAAAAATGATGGGTGATGTGACAAAATGTAAAAAGCTGAATTGATATGAATACTTATGGAAAGCAGAGCTCCAAAATTAACTACTTCCTGCCTATATCCACTAGGTGGTGTTCCCGCATGCCAATTTCCTCCCCAAGCACAAGCTGAAGGAGCTGGAGCACTACCTCCCTAGAAAGGTGGACACAGAGGAGATGGACAGCATGGACGAAGACCTCTACATCTATGCCGACCTGGAGGACTGTGACTTGGAAAGCAGACGAAGACACAGGCATCAGTACTACTACATGGACGAGGACGACTACTCCAGCACCGGCGGCGTTCAGTGCCACACGTCTTAAGTCCCATCTTGAGACCAAAATCCCCATCTCTGATGCAATGCACCTTTTTGGACTTTTGTGCACATTTTTCATTCCATCAACTTATTTTACTTTTAATTTCCGTCCTAGCACAATTTTAAATGTCTGGACTCTCTATTTGTCAGCGGATTGTGTTTTTTTGGACTTGACCTTAAGTTCCACATTCTTCTTGTGACCATAGCTCCATTTACACTAGCCTTTTTGAAACTGCTCTCATTGAAATTTGGGGCGGAGGATGCTATCCAGGCACATAAGTTCCTTAATGTTATGGGCGTCGCCATTTTTGTTTGCATAATTCCCGCCTTGAGATCTGTAGTATCATGGACCACAGCTAAAAGGCAAGGAACCATGCTAGGGTGATGTATAAATGGTCGTAAGAACCGAGCTCGGCCCGGTTAACTGATCCAACCTCCATCTGACCGCGGCACGGATCAGTTTCAGAAGGCTAGTGTAAACGAGGCACATATTTCAATCTTTTTTGTTGTTCTAAAGCACTGTGGTTAAACATGAGGGTTGTTATCCCAGTGTCTTTAGACAAATTTAAAGCATTTACACTAAAACTGATGCCAATATTCCTTTAAAGATAACCTGATTTTAAGTGGTGTTACTTGCTGGTTGTAAACAATTTGTTAATGACTGTTGGTTGTTTTAAGAAGCTTTCAGATCGAGAACTGTGCTGAAACTTGATTTGAATTTTTGATGCTGACTTACCCTTTAAAGGGCTATTATGAGACAGTTTTAATGAATCTTAAAATGTGACTGGAAGATGTGAGTTTGAACAAAGGGGGCAGTACTTTTAAAGGTTCAAGCCACTAAATTGTAGATATTTCAAGCTGATATTTAAGTTTAGTATTTCACTCATTCTTAGCTTCAGTTCTGTCTTGGGTTTGATATCAGATGTTTAACTGAGTGTTTTCTGTGCGTGGTTGTTAAAAAAGAAAGCAATTTACAGATGTTTAAAACCCTCCAATCATGTGATTTGCGAACGTTATTGGTTGTAACCCCAGGGTATAAAGTGCCTGTTGTAGCTACATTGTCAAATGAAGATTAACCAAGGTGTGGATTCCTTATGTAAAGACGTGGTCAAAAAGTCGGCAGAAAAAGATGCACATAAATTAGGAATTCAGACAACTAATCAAAGTACAAAGAGGAATATTTTGGTGCGTTTGTATTGGTACCGAAGTTGATCATTGTCATGTAAAAACCAGATGGGATCTGCAAGGTTCCAGAGGGATTTAAATGGGGCAAGTCTTGTACCTCATTAAAGTGTCGTCTTTTTCAACGCCTTATAAATCAACTTGAAGTAGCTGGATGATGCGGTGGTCGTCTCCTGACGTTGGTTAGCAGAACTGCTTCCACAAGGACGCATTCAGGAGATCATCTCCTCAAAGCAGGTTCTATTTGAAAGTATTCAAGGTGTGATGAATGATTCTGAAGTAAGTTAGCTAGAGTGTTCTTTTAACTCCATTGATGTTCGGACCAAGAATGTGATCATGTTTTGTTAATAAATAGCATTTTGGGGTCTTAAGTCATATGAGATATCTGATTTTTTTTTTTTTTTATGGAATCACTGTTGTGCTGAGGAAAAATCCCAACTTGGCACAGACTAGTGGGAGTTCTCAAAGTGTTTCTAAGTACATTTATTATGGTTACACTGTGTCATCAAAGATTTAAAACAACTGTTCAACAGTCAAAATAATTTTATTGAATCTTAACTTTTTGCTACAGTTTGAAAGGTTTGGCAGAGCATTTGTGGTTTTGAAGAATTAACCTCTTAATTTTTTTTCTGTAGCTTTTTCACACCGGTAAATATGGAGGACCAGGAGGGTCATTGAAAAATAACCAGATTTAACATTTAAATCATACAATTAGTAATCCAATTTAAAAAGCGTTTTCTGATTGCATGTTTTGTGAACAAAGTGGAAAACAATAATGGAATAACTGATTAGGAAAGTTACATCAGATTTTAAAAAAGTGTGGTTATTAAATTTCCGTTTAGATTTGAAAATACATTAAAGACCAAAAGTTCCGACAAACCTCATTCAAAGAGTTTCCTTTATTTTCATGACTATGAAAATTGAAGACTCACACTGAAGGCATCAAAACTGAATTATATACTTAACAAAAAAGTGTGAAACAACTGAAAATATGTCTTATATTCTAGGTTCTTCAAGTAGACACCTTTTGCTTTGATTACTGCTTCACACACTCTTGGTATTCTCTTGATGAGCTTCCAGATGTAGTCACCTGAAAAGGTCTTCTAACAGTCTTGAAGGAGTTCCCAGAGGTGCTTAGTGCTTGTTGGCCCTTTTGCCTTCACTCTGCTGTCCAGCTCACCCCAAACCATCTCGATTGGGTTCAGGTCCAGTGATTGTGGAGGCCAGGTCATCTGGCGAATCACCCTATCACTCTCCTTCTTGGTCAAATAGCCCTTACAAAGTCTGGAGGTGTGCTTGGGGTCATTGTCCTGTGGGAAAAATAAATGATGGTCCAACTAAATGCAAACCGGATGGAATAGCATGCCACTGCAAGATGCTGTGGTAGCCATGTTGGTTCAGTATGGCTTCAATTTTGAATAAATCCCCCTCACACCATCACACCTCCTCCTCCATGCTTCACAGTGGGAACCAGACATGTAGAGTCGATCCGTTCACCTTTTCTGCATTGCACAAAGACACAATTGTTGGAACCAAAGATCTGAAATTTGGACTCATCAGACCGTGGCACAGATTTCCACTGGTCTAATGTCCACTCCTGGAGTTCTTTAGCCCAAGCAAGTCTCTTCTGCTTGTTGGCTGTCCTTAGCAGTGGTTTTCCTCGCAGCTATTTTACCATGAAGGCCTGATTCACACAGTCTCCCCTTAACAGTTTTTCTAGAGATCTGTCTGCTGCTAGAACTCTGTGTGGCATTGACCTGGTCTCTAATCTGAGCTGCTGTTAACCTGCCATTTCTGAGGCTGGTGACTCGGATGAACTTATCCTTCACAGCAGAGGTGACTCTTGGTCTTCCTTTCCTGGGCCGGTCCTCATATCAGCCAGATTCTATGTAGAGCTTGATGGTTTTAATTAGCAAGTAATGATGGCCACTCGTTTTTCTTTCCTTAGCTGCTTTTTTCTTGTCATAATACAAAATCTAAGTCTATTCAGTAGGACTATCAGCTGTTTATCCACCTGACTTCTGCACAACACAACTGATGATCCCAACCCATTTATAAGGCAAGAAATCCCACATATTAAACCTGACAGGGGACATCTGTAAAGTGAAATCCATTCCTTGTGACTACCTCTTGAAGATCATCAAGAGAATACCAAGAGTGTGCAAAGCAGTAATCAAAGCAAAAGGTGGCTACTTTGAAGAACCTGGAATTTAAGACATATTATCAGTTGTTTCACACTTTTTTAAGTATATAATTCCACTTGTTAATTCATAGTTTTGATGCATTCAGTGTGAATCTACATTTTTCAGTCATGTAAATAAAGAAAACTCTGTGATAATGGATTAATACATACAATTTACAGTTCCTCTTTAATAATTCAATTTAACATGTACAATTGTATTTCTAATTAAAAGATTTTAAATGTGAAACTTGAAATTGTCCTCAATAGATAAATGTCTTGTTCACACTTGGAGAAATATTTTTTTTAAAACAGCAGTTATACCATACAACCCTGAATGACTCTCCCTCTGAGGATTTGTGTTTTACCCAAATTCTACCCTTTAAAAGAGTGGATTGAACAGATCTGACCCTAAAATGAGTTTACAAAAAGCTCTTTAAATGCACCCCTTTTTCAATTATGAATTTATTTGGATTCATCCCTCCTATGGCAGACAAAGTGATATCCACAATGCAGTAAACATACCAAAAAGAGAGCAGTGACTTCATCCAACAGTGACAAATAACAGTTATTAGATGCAAGTAGAAGACAGTGTTAGCTTTAGGGACCTTCTAAAAGTATGCACAGGAACACCACTACAAATAAATGCAGCTAATACAGACAGGAAGCATGCATATTTCTGAATTATTGCAGAACCACAGCAAGGCAGTCAACTGAGGTAGCATGCAGATAAATCACAGAGCATTATAAAGAAAAGAAAAAGTCTATTTACAAAAAAAGACAGTAAAGCATCAAATACCTGATATTTTTAATGCCCAAACATTAGGCAGTTTCTACTGTAAATCATTTTTACAACAGTTCACCATCGTGCATTTTCATGTCTGTTAGAGACAAGAAGAGATGAGAGAGTTGGATTCAAATAGCTCTGGTTCAGTTGGACTAACAAGGAGCACCATGGAGAGCTCCGCCAAACTTCATACAGCAAAGTTCATACAGCATTCTGATGGAAAGTGAATCAGGTAAAAATAAAAATTACACATTCAGACAAATAAGAAATATTTGGATGGTTCTCATATCTTTAGCTGTATCCTGAATCTTTCGATTATAAAAATGTAAAAGTCACTTTCGTACACTAAAAAAAATAGCTGAACTGCTGGTGAAGGCCTTCTAAGAAAATAAAATCTGTCAATCAGGCACCATATAACTCATAAAGGTTCAGTTTTGGGAGGCTCTAATAAAAAAGAGCGTTTAGCATCTCACCCGCAGTAGATAACTTTTTCTTGGTTTGTTTTACCCAGTAAAGGTAGAAGGTGGTGAACCATCATTTTTTTTCTCTCAGTCTGCTCCTTACATTACAAGTTAGATTTTCATGTTTCCTTCAAAGGCATTGGGGGTACACCACCTTCTGTTTTGATAAATAACAATCCAGTACAATAGTTTTTTGTTGTTTAACAGTGACAGCAGTTTTGGAATTCTTACAAAAAGTCCACTTTGGTTTTAGTCTCTCTTAGCATCATCCACTGGCACCGCCTAATCTGATTTTACCCATGAATGATTTAAGATGAATGAAAATGCTTCGCTACAGAAAAGATACAAGCTGTATAAAAGTTTGATAGAAGTTTTCATGTAAAAATTCAGATTCATCCCTTTAAGCTTTATCATAATGCTTTTGAGCTCTGCAATGGACTCCCTAGCTCCTCCTCAGTCTGATGCAGGGGACTCTTTAGGATTTCCACAGCATTAACAGCCCATCCTCGCTGTAGGTGGCAATCAGGTTCTCATGTGGGTGGTGAGCGATGCCAATTACATCTTTCTCATGGACCTGTGGGTTCAGCGGAATGAATATTAGTAGACATTTTCATTCCCCTGCCTGGAATGTTTAAACCAAACAATGAGACAGCAAAATATGTAGTTAGGAAACACTGATGGCTTGTCTGAAACATAATAGTGGAGTATTAGCTGCGGGGCTTACAGTCAGCGTTTTCTCCAGCCTCCCTGATGTGTAGTTGAAGCAGTACAGCACACAGTCCTCCCCCACACAGTAGATCCACTCTCCGTGGGGTGAGACAGTGCAACAAATGAAGCACGCTCTCAGTGGCTGCTCAGAACAAAAGCTCTTCACTGTCTGAGGAGGAAGATAGAAGGAAACGCTAAAACATCCACTCTCCATTATGCATTATTGTAAATGGGAACTCATTAGTCTGTTTAGGAAATATTTTAACACAAAAATTATTATTATTTTCCTGAATGACAACCCATCCACCCACGCATCCTTCCTTCCTTCCTTCCTTCCTTCCTTCCTTCCTTCCTTCCTTCCTTCCTTCCTTCCTTCCTTCCTTCCTTCCTTCCTTCCTTCCTTCCTTCCTTCCTTCCTTCCTTCCTACCTTCCTTCCTTCCTTCCTTCCTTCCTTCCTTCCTTCCTTCCATCCATCCATCCATCCATCCATCCATCCATCCATCCATCCATGACCTTAAAATATAATTCAATATCGGCGTTGATCCTTTTTCTCTTAGTGGGTAGAAATTTGCCTTTTTTTAGCCAATCCATTTAGATTATTTCTAACCTTAGGCCTGTCCAAGTTTATTTGGACAGAAACCAACTAATCAGGTCTGACTTGATTAGTTGGTTTAATCAACCACCACAGCTTTTTAACCATCTTTTACATACATTAATCATCTTGACGTATCTTTTCTACATATTTTCATTAAACGTTTGCTTAGGGCTATCCTTCCTTTAAATGGTTATTGCGAGTATTAGCGTATTATATGAATTCTTATTTTTGTATGAACTCTGGTGGTATTAAACTATTTAGCATTAAGTAACAAGTCCATTTATTTATCATGGAATTGTTTTGATCAATTTGTTTAACCGGTACAGGTAAAATCATGCTTACTGGATGAGGTCTGGTTCTTACCTGGCCGCGCATGTTCATGATGACCAATCTGCTGGAGCGGTTACACACCACAAACTCCTCAGGGTTTTGGGGAAGGGGAATCACGTTGTTGACTGGGACATCTGGTGTAACTAACTGGGATTTAAAGGTGTGAAGGCATTCACACGATTTTGTGTTCCAGATCTGGGAAGACATACCCAAGGAAGTTTTTTTTAGCTTAGCAGTACTGGTGAGAGGTTTGCAAAAGATCACTGCTGGCCTAAGTTTAAAGTTTAATTTTGGGTTTCAAAGATGTATTAGAA